CATTGAATAAATTTTTTACAAAATGTTTCCTTCTGATTCGTATAACATATCATTTGTTAAATCAGTAATAAAGTTTAATTTCTCTTATAAAATTTCATTTAAATTTTATTACCACTAAATGCGGCTTTCCTATGAAACATACATACATATGTTCATACAAACATTGTTCACACGTATGTATGGATATTCACTTTTATAAATAAGTATTTAAAAATTGATTTACTGTTTGTCACTATTTACTAATTATCACTATTGGTTTGCTTAGGTTGTAACTGCATACGATTTTTTTAATATTACATATACGTAGTATATGCATACTTACATATTTATTTACTTAGTTTACTATAAAATTAAAATAAAGAGGTTCGTATAAAAAAGTCTTTGATGTTAAAAAAATTAGAACAAATATCAATATCTTTTTACTTATCTATGTCGACACTTAGGAATTAAGAATTGTCATGTGTGTATGTATGTATGTACGTGTGTACATATGGGCTTAATTATGTGTTTGTAAATTAATCTACATTCTAACTAATAACCGGAATAAAACATTTTAATAATGCATTATTAATATTTACAATATTTTTAATAAATATCGTATATAAATATATTTTAATCTTTTTAATAATGTGTTCACTTAAATTAACGCATGTATGTGTACGTATTAGGCATTAATTATAAATCAGTAAATATTTAATAAATATATTTTAACAATCTCACACGATTATTCTAACTAGTAAAACATTTCTTGATGTGTCCACTGTAAACATCTACATATGTACATTCATGTGTATAGGTTACCCTGCAACAGCGTGCGACTAATCTATAAAGAGAGTACTCCAACATTAGTCTCAATAGGGTACAATTAGACATTAATTAGCCGCCAGAAGCCTCATACGGGTATTATTGAAAATCAATTAGTCCTCCACTTATCTCTAATGCCGTGGTTATGCTACCAATTTCGATTGGCAATTGTTTTTGTGCACAGCACGGAGTCAGAGAATTTTCGAACTCGAACAGCCAGCACTATCCTCCTCTGAAAAACGCTCTGTTTTCCCCATTTTAAAATTCGAAAATCCCATTTATAAATATTAAGTATTGAAAGTTTTTAATTGCAATATACATATCGCTAGCTTAGAGTGAAAAGTTGCCAAGTCCACTTTTTATGAAAACTCATATTTTGGTATAGGAAGCAAGAGATATTAAAAACGCATCGTTTCGAATATGATAAAGGTACTTGTTTTATTTTTTCTATATTATATTCAACGCAAGACAAATTTGCTAAGTCCAAAAGAGGCACCGAAAATCCGACAAAACAAAATAATACAAAATCTTTTAATAAAGATCGAATCCTTCTTATTCGTATGCCGGTGCTTTGCTTTTGTTATAATTTTTTAATTCTCTTTATTTGAATATAGCAAACGGAATGAAAATTTTTAGACAGGAATTGCAAATTTCCTTTAACCAAACCAATTAATACAAATCGTTCTTTATAGATATTTTCCAAGTGTTAGAAGCTGCTGATGTTTTGACTTCATTAATACTTTGGTAAAAATACCTGCTGTGTATTTTAATGAAATATGACCTTGTTAATAAATTTCGCGAAAGTGATGCACTTTGATGTCAATGTGCTTGCTTCAATGTTGTTGCTTTTTTAACGCATCTCCCAAATCCAAGTTTTACAAGTAAATTTCGAATAATGATGGAGAACTATCGATGGGGCTATCGATAGTTAATTTTGTCGCCACTATCGAATTTTTCTAAACACTATCGATAGTTGTATATTGCTCACATCACTGTTAACTAGACGCCGAGCAAGTTCGTGGTAAAACATAAGTATATAGTTTTTAATATATAATTTACAAATTAAACAAATAATAAATATTTTTAATATATATTGGCGCTGTTGCTGTTATTGGTGTTAGGCATGGATAAATTCATTCAAAAAGCAGGTAAGTAATATAATATATGTATGTACATATGTATGTGCATACAAGCAAGTATGTTCCTTACAATTTCAAATTGAATATGTTCATTAATTGTTTTGTTCAAGGCTCGAACAAAAGTGATGCGCCGGATTCGGTTGAAGATTCAAGCGATTCGGAAAAAGAATATAGGCCAAACAAAAGAATACGAAAACGAACGTCCCAAGTTTGGAATCATTTCATAAGTTCAACTAATAAAAGGTACGCTAAATGTAATTTTTGCGGTAAGAAATATAAGACCAGTGGCAACACGTCAAATTTGTTCGACCACCTCAAGCGAATACACCCTTCTCNCAACCTTAAACAAGTTAACGTTGACAAGATTTTGTTTGTAAACAAAAATCTAAATTTGAATATTTGAAAAATTTCAATAGTGTTCCAACATCTACACCTAACAGAGGGTTGAGTTTACATATTTTCTTTAAAAAAAAAATAACCTCGTTTGGTTTTAAACCAATTTTTACAATTGTATGTTGTGAGCTCTATTGTTTGTAAACATATTCTTCTTGTTTTTTCATAAAATGTGTTATTGAAATACACCATCTCATTTTGTTTAACACAAGTTATAAGTTGTCAACTCTTTGCTTGTACAAATAATCTTTATGGTTTTTCTTGTTACGACATAGTAAAAGAAGAAACGATCAAATTTTCAATTGCCGAATTCTTCTTGACCTTATTTGTCATAAAATGTATAATCAAATTTGCCCATTTACAAAATGTTATGTCCGGTTTTTTCACCAATAAATTCTAAATTTATCAAACACTAGCCGCCACTACCCGCGGGTTTCACCCAACGCCAGAATGAATTAAAGGGGTCATGTGACTTGTGGTTCCGAAGTTATGGCAAAAAATTGCAAGCCTATGTTAAGTGCTACGCCCCCTTTTACAAACTCATTTATATATACCTTACTATAAGCACCTTCCATAGATATGTCTGCATACCCAATGTTATGTTTATGTGACTTATAGTTCCGAAGTTATAACTGGTAAACAGACACATTCTTGTTTATATATACCTTACTATAAGTACCTACCCTAGATGTGTCTGCATACCACATTTCAAGTTCATGTGACTTATGGTTCCGAAGTTATGACTGACTAAAAATTCCACGCCTATGCTATCTGCCCCGCCTCCTTTTACAAACTTAGTTATATCTACCTCAGGATAAGGATCTACTACAGATATGTTTCCATACCAAATTTCAAGTTCATGTGACTTATGGTTCCGAAGTTATGACTGACTAAAAATTCCACGCCTATGCTATCTGCCCCGCCTCCTTTTACAAACTTAGTTATATCTACCTCAGGATAAGGATCTACTACAGATATGTTTCCATACCAAATTTCAAGTTCATGTGACTTATGGTTCCGAAGTTATGACTGACTAAAAATTCCACGCCTATGCTATCTGCCCCGCCTCCTTTTACAAACTTAGTTATATCTACCTCAGGATAAGGATCTACTACAGATATGTTTCCATACCAAATTTCAAGTTCATGTGACTTATGGTTCCGAAGTTATGACTGACTAAAAATTCCACGCCTATGCTATCTGCCCCGCCTCCTTTTACAAACTTAGTTATATCTACCTCAGGATAAGGATCTACTACAGATATGTTTCCATACCAAATTTCAAGTTCATGTGACTTACGGTTCGGAAGTTAGAGCTGATTAAATAATTCACGCCTATGGGAGTTGCCACGCCCCCTTTTCCAATACCGCCATTTTTTCCCAGGAGTATGGAATTAATTCTGTTTATCTCGACAGCAAGTTCCAATGCTCTACCACAAATATTTCAAGAGATATACAACATGAAAATGTTCGTTAGTATAGGACGTGCCACGCCCTCTTTTCGAGTACTACCCATTTTTCGCTATGCCTATAACCTTCCCGGGGTAAAAGCAAATAAGTGTGCAAAGTTTCGTGCGATTCCTTGCCGCGGTTTAGAAGTTATAAGGTAATAAACAAACAGACATTCGAATGTATACAGCATCGATAGTTTTCCAACACTAATTTCGAAAGTAAATTATTGATTTCGCTGCACTGAAAATAGCCATATATTCTGCTTCTGCTGTGCTAAGCAGAATGTGTATTCATTGGGCGTTTCATACCAAAACGGACGGGGTTCACACTTCATGTGTTTGATTTGTTTCAAATTTTTGGGGTTCATGCATAAGCATAAATAATAAATAAATATGAAATTTGAGCTTGATTAATAAATTTTTAGAAACTTTAGAGCAAAAAAAACAAAAAAAAATCGATCTAATAGTTTTCCAAATATCTCGTGAACGGGGCGAGGAAAAAATTTAAAAAAAAATCACACATACACACATCAAAATTCTCTATGAAAAGAAATATTTAAAAATTTTTTTTCTTGAAAAATTTTTCACATACAAATTTTTTGATAAAAAAAATTATTTTTTGAAAATATGCCATCTCATAAATAATTGAAAAAATCACAGTGATAGCTCTGAGTATTGCGCAATATTTATGTATAGTGTTATGGGGTACAAAAGCCGTCAGCATAAAAAAATATTAAAAACGCAATTTTGCAGTGGCTTAAAACTTGCACTTTATTATACTAAAATTTATTGGAATACAAAAATTTGTAATGTACTCATTTTACTTAACTTCGGTGTAAAAAAAAATAATAACTGACTATCCGAATTCGCAACGTGAGTGTGAACCTTCTTCCGTAGCCCCAACTCGGTTGTGGGCGGGTTAGAAGAGGCTTGCTTCCAAAACTGGTTTGAAGTGCTGAGAAAATCTGGACCAGTCCACCATTGCTCATAGTGCAAAAGTTCGAGCGGCGTTATGCCTCTAGAGGCGCAATCCGCGGGATTTCTTTCAGAGCGTACGTGATTCCAACAATCAGGCGGTAGAATTTCGTGAATATCAGCAACACGATTGGCAATAAACGTCTCCCATCTGCTGGGATGTGCTTGCAAGCATGCCAACGTGATTGTAGAGTCTGTCCAAGCAAACAGAGGGTAACGGAGATCGCTCCGACTATGTTTTACACTTTTACCAACTTGGCAGCAAGATGGGCCGCGCACAGTTCCAGGCGAGGTAAAGAAGTTGGTTTTATTGGCGCCACTTTGGTCTTGGACGAAACTACTGCAACTGTGACGTGGCCATCGCTGTGAACAGTACGGGCGTACATAACTGCAGCGTAAGCGCGCTCAGAAGCATCAGCAAAAATATGCAACTCTGTGAGCGATCCAAACGTTCCAGAGCCGAGCCAGCGATTCACCTTCAAGTTCGCCAATTGCTGCAGCTGTGAACGATGATCAACCCACAGCCTTGCAATTGTGCCTGGTATCAGCTCGTCCCATCCAACATCGGCTCGCCAAATGTCCTGAATCCACATCTTGGACCTTATTGTCACAGGTGCAAGCAAACCCAGTGGATCGAAAATAGTACTGGCGTCAGATAAAAAGGCTCTCTTAGTTAGAATAGCAGGTGGCCGATTCAGGTCCACTGTGAATGTGAAATAGTCGCCTTCTATGTTCCAAATGAGGCCTAGCGCGTTAACGTCCTTATCGTTGACCATGTAATGCGGTATATTTTGAGATGCGTTGGATATACTCTCATTTAGCTCTGCACAGTTAGATGCCCACTTCCGCAGTTCAAAGCCGCCTTCTTTGAGAATGCCAGATACAGCTTGTTGAAGTGACTTAGGTTCTGTTTTGCAAGAAGCCCCAGTTAATAAGTCGTCCATATAGAAGTCCTTGAGGATTACAGCCACGGCTTCCTTGCAGCTACTAAACGGGCACTTAGCAGTTTGTTGCATCGACTTTACTGCCAAGTGAGACGCGGCGGCCACCCCATACGTTACGCGCAGTATCCGGTAATCCTTAATTGGTGAATACGGATCGGGACGCCAAACGATTCGCTGCAAGTCGACTTGCTTTGGTGAAACGCAGACTTGTCGGTACATCTTCGCGACGTCTGCGGTTACCGCGTACCGATGCGTTCTGAAGCGCAGCAATATGGAGTATAGATCTTGTTGCAGTTGAGGCCCGACAAACAGTGCGTCATTTAGCGAATTCCCTGTGGTAGTTTTGGCGGACGCGTTGAAAACAACACGCAGCTTGGGCGCTACACTGGACTCCTTTATTACTGGGTGATACGGCATATAATACCCTTCGCTCGTCGTTTCAGATACCACCTCCATGTGACCCATTTAAATAAGTTCTTGCTTGAACTCATTGTAACATAAGCGCAAATCGTAGTTACCTGCGAGCCTTCGTTCGATGCGTAACAGGTTGCGAACCGCGAAGTTGCGTGACTCGCCCAATGATACGTTAGGTTTTAGCGGTAACTCAACGACAAAGCGACAGGCGTGCTCTTGTGCGTGGAATCGAAGTGCCTTTCACAGAAACTTTCTTCGAGCGTTAGATGCATGTTTTGCGGCAACTCTTCCAGCTCCCACAATTTAGCGAGCGCTCGATCCAGATGGACGTCGCAATGCAGTGACGGTAAACGCAGCTCGGGTGATGGCCAACTGTCGGCACTTCCGAACAAAGTCCACCCAAACACTGTTCTTTGAGCCATAGGAGCGCCAGTCGGACCTTTACAAAGCTCGGTGCAGATGAATCGGTCCATAACATCCATGCCAACCAGAATGTCTATGCGGCTATGCTTCGCGAAATGCGGGTCAGCTAGGAACAATCCTTGAATATGCGGCCAATTCGAAACATTTAAAGTCTGTGTTGGCAAATCGTTTGGGATTTTGGGAAGAATCAATGCATTAAAAGCGTAGCATTCATCTGAGCAGTAAGACGAAAGCGAGAGCAGCGTCTCGCCTCTACAGCGACCTCCTTGCGATGCACAAATTCCGGTGACGAATACAGAAGAGGATGTGCGTGGAAGGGCCAAGCGCTGTACACATGCCTCCGTTACGAATGAGGCGTGCGACCCGGAATCAAACAATAAACGTGCGGTCTGCCAATGATCCGAACTATCACGAACCTTTACTAGTGCGGTAGCTAATATCACGGTTTTTTGCGTTGCAGGAGGCAGACCAGAACCAGAACTTAAGCAAGATGAAACGTGAGTAGCAGCGCTATCCGCTTGCAAAGCGATGGCAGATGAGTCGGCTGCATGATTGCTGACAGATGCGGTATTTGGAGCGGTGCCGTTAGCCTCGACGACATGAGCGGATGTGGTAGCGGGCGAGCTCGCAGTACTATGAAGTAGCGTATGATGACGTTGGTGACATACTCTGCATGCCGACGTGCTGTTACAACGCTCCTTGTAATGCCCTGGACTCAGACAATTCAAACATGCTTTCGATTCCTTTATGAACTTAGACTTAGAGGTTGAGTCTAAACTGCGAAATTTGTCACAAGCATAAATCTTGTGAGCTGCATTACAGTACATGCAGCGCGTGAGGTTCTGCTCCGGAACAGCGTGAAACACTTTGGTTGATTTGACAGCTGATTTCTGTGTAGTCGACTTGATAATGCAGGTCTGAGCTGAAGGCGTGGTAAGCATTGCTAATGAGCGACATCTTATCTCCAAAAACGACGTCAGCTGTTCAAATGTCGGAGGCTCATCACTAACAAGTGAAAGCTCCCACTGATTTCGGGTTTCGAACGCAAGTTTGTTGACAATTTCATGCACCAACCGATCATCCCAAAATTCGACGGGGCGCCGTAACGCTTTGAGCTCTCGAATGTGTTGCTGAAATGCATCGATAACGCTCTTTATTGCATCAGCAGTGTCACTCGTAGCCTTGTGAATATCAGCTATCGCCCTAAGATGTGCTTCAACGATTACTCGCATGATCTTGTAGCGGGACTTCAGCAGGTTCCATGCCTCCGCATAGTTCGCCTCGCATATCTTGAAGCCGCTTATAATACTTAACGCGTCCCCGTTTAGGCAGCTGCGCAAATAATGTAATTTTTGCACGCCTGACAGAGCATCGTTGGTGTCAACAAAAAGCATCGTAAAAAGCTATCCACTCCGTGAAATCGCCAGCAAATGTGGGTAAATCCATTTTCGGCAAACGTATTAATGCAGACACAGTCGTTGATGGGAGTGCGGGTTGCATTGCCGATTCCGTGCGACACTTCTGGACGCGTTTGAAGTGGGCAGGGCTGTAGCACACCAAGTCTCGCCTTGCACGCGAGCATTTTCCTCCACTTCAGCATTTTCAAGCCCACAAGATGTTTCGACTGCACCTTGGGCAGTGTTGAAACGGACCCATTGCTCATTGAGGAGCTGCAAATAACTTGCGACACTGTCGAAGTCCATGGCAAATGCATCGTCTATACTTTTTGCCATGTACCTCTTAATAGCGTTTAGTGCGGAATCGCGAGTTTTCACGGAGGCAGACATTGCGTTAATTTTGCTTCATGGTTCGTTTCAGGTGAAATTTAAAAGCACGGCGGATTTGCAAAATTACACTTGCACAATGTCGAATGTAGGACAAATTCGTAGAGGCCTAATCAAAGTCACCGCAGGTTGTCAAAATTATAAATATCGAATACAAACAGTTTGTAGAGGTCAAATCAAAGTCACCTTGGCTTCTCGAGAATTCGTTATGTTGAATTAAGAAACAGCTTCTAATACAACTACTGCACACCAAAGTTCTATTTAATTTCAGCAAAAACGTCTGATTTATAATAAGTTTTGTAGCGGGGAACACACTGTGTTTATTTATTGCAAATCTATACTTGCACTTTTACGACCGGGTTGTTTAAATCCGGACCGAAGGACCAGCAAATGTTGCGGAGATTTATAAGCAAAGTTGATGCGAGGATTCCGATAAACTATGCAGCGGGGTTTCCAAATGAAAGACAAGGTTTATGCGATTAACCAATTCATTTAATTAAGTTTTAATGGATTTACAGAAAATATAAGCGGGGCGAACGAGTATGCGAGCAGTAGCAAAAATATATATATCGAAAAGCAAAGAAAACGAAGGGGTGAATAGCAAATGTCAAACAAAGAACGTTTGCCGTTAACTCCTGTGTGGTGTCACAGCATTTACCCTTGGGAACGCATGAACTTCAACTCTTATGTATGTTTTACATGTATACATTAAATCTTTGGAGTTTGGAGTGGAGCATATTCGAGCTCAACAATAACTCAAATTATTGTAGAGTCCACCCCATAATACCATACTTACAGTGACGAGCAAAACTGTAACATGGAGTAGCACTTTTTATTTCAGCTGTCGCTATCTTTCCAAGTTCTAACGACATTCGTACTCTTGTTGTATATTTTTATTGGTACATCTTTGCTTCCTCTGTCATAACGATTTGAAGTCAATTCAACAACATTAACAAAACCAGCAGACAAAAATGTAAATTAAGGCAAATGTTACAGTTTTGCACTCATATATTTTTAATAACTTTTTGACTATTTTCACAAAAAAAAAGGATTATTAACACAATGTTCAGTATGGTTTTGCTTTATTTAGTTCCTGGTTGCAATTTGGCATACCTAATGTGTATGTCTGTAAAAATTCTGGAGGTATAGCCTCCCATATATCCTTGGTGTGCTTTCACAGCTCATGTACTCAATTGGACGGACTTGGATACTTAGTAAGATGCGCTTTTAGTTGATTTCGCAAGTTCTCGATGAGATTCATGTCCTCCCATATAGATGACCGGTCATATGACCGGCAGATGTCTCGTAGGATTCCCAGAGAGTTTTGCTTTACATAGGATTTTGTGCTCTTTTATTTTCATTTTGGCTCACTTCAGTGTTGGCTTCTTTAATTCAAGTTGGCATTCGGTTTTTGGAATTTAAATAAGTTCTCAGCAAAAAAGTTTGTTTAAAACAAGTAAGAAAGTCTAAGTTCGGGCGGAGCCGAACATTAAATACCCGGCGCAAATATTAAATATATGTTTTTTCACCTTTCCGAAACCTACCGCAGATGGTAAGCCGGGGTGTATCAATTTTGAGTAAATTAGCGTCCTTCAATTTCGAAATATTGAAGTTTCAAGCATTTCTGAAATTTACCGTTATATGAAAAGCGCCCGAATTTTAATCCGATTTCAATAATTTNGATCATAAGTGGGCGGTGCCACGCCCATTTTCCAAAATTTTATCATAAGCGTATTTCTTGGTAAAGAATTGTTGCAAGCATCAATTTTGAATAAATTAGCTTTAATATTTACTGATTTATCGAAGAATTTGTATTTCTCTAAATAACCGTTATATGGGATGTGGGCGTGGTTATCGTCCAATTTTAAAAATTCTCTGCGATTTTGTATGCAAGGCCAACAACTGTGCCAAGTTTGGAAGAAATTGGTGCAGCGGTTACCAAGATATACACATGTAACCATAAGTGGGCGTGGCTACGCCCATTTTCCAAAAATTTATAATATTCTTATTTTTCGTCTAAAAATTATTGTAAATATCAATTTTGAGTGAATTATCTTCAGTAGTTACTAAAATATCGCAGTTTTCGTATTTCTGAAAATTACCGTTATATGGGAAGTAGGCGTGGTTATTGAGCGATTTTAAAAATTTTCGGCCATTTGGTATGTTGTGCGAAGGCCAACAACTGTGCCAAGTTTGGAAGAAATTGGTGCAGCGGTTACCAAGATATACACATGTAACCATAAGTGGGCGTGGCTACGCCCATTTTCCAAAAATTTATAATATTCTTATTTTTCGTCTAAAAATTATTGTAAATATCAATTTTGAGTGAATTATCTTCAGTAGTTACTAAAATATCGCAGTTTTCGTATTTCTGGAAATTACCGTTATATGGGAAGTGGGCGTGGTTAAAGTCCGATTTCGCCCATTTTCAATACCAACCTACCTTGGATTAAGGGAAACCTACATACCAAATTTCGTTGAGATATCTCAATTTTTGCTCGAGTTATCGTGTACACGGACAGACGGACAGACGGACAGACAGACAGACAGACAGACATGGCTTAATCGATTTCTTTTTTCATCCTGATCATTTATGTATACATTTGTCTATATCTATCTCGATTCGTTTTGGCTGTTACAAACAACCGTTATGTGAACAAAATTAATATACCCTTCTGCACAAGTGCGCTCGGGTATAAAAATCAAATACTGGTGCGCGTGCGCTACAACATTCGAGGAAACGAGAATAAATAATGTTTTTCGTTTGGTATGATCAGGTGGGTAGCGAAAGTGCGAGCGCGGGCTAGAGAAAGGGAAAAACTTTTAAGGGAGGAAGGGTATGAA